TTTCTAAGCTGCGATCCCCTCCCCAGCGGGGATGTTAATGTATGCGGCCTAAGTATTTCAAAGTTTTGCGTGAACCCCTGGGATAACCTCCCTTTCCGAGTTCATTTAAATTTCAATAAACACGAGAACATCGTAGAGGTGTGCTGACAAGGGAATAATCGGAAGTCGAAGTGGCCAAGCTAAGCAGGCTGCCTACCATTCGATGCAGCAATCAACGCTAATTTCGAATCCGTAGTCCATATCTGCTTAGCGCCTTTGTGGACGAAGTCATGAGTAAATTTATTGCGAAGAAATCGTGCTTGAAAATTGCGAAATTGAACTGTCAGTTTAAAACTCACACTGCTGCACTTACAACTCACCTTTAGGCTTTGGAAATATACAGTCTGCCCCAATTCCAACCAGGCCAAAATTGGCATGGCGGGAGTCCGCATCGTTAGGGTTTCGCGGTCACGCCCACGGCCTGCTTCTCCGCTCTCTCTTCAATTCTTTGGCTATCTCCGACAGGGTGCATATGCAGCGCAGACTGCTAGCGCTGCGAGCGCGCAAACCTACGCCGAAGGTTTGGCCTGGTTCCGATTGGAGCAGACTGTAAAGTAACCTAGCTGCCAGCATTGGCCAGCATTGAGCCGAACGGCTTCGTGTCAAATTTGCGATTTGCATGCAGGATTTCCTAGCGCAGGTATGGAATATAGATTCGAAATCGGCCTTTTATGCTGCCTAACGGTATGCAGCTTGTTTGGATTGGACATTTCGATTTCTGACCAATGACGCTGCTACATATTTTCATGGAAGAAATGAGTAAGATCTAGATCAAAGTTTTGATAGAACTTTGGTCGCCTGTCATGGTTATTTGAAAGTTTATAACCTTCAAATCCCTGCATTCTACCAAAAACATGATTAACACTGCAATAATATTTTGTTCTTTCTTCTCAAGCCATACACGAGATTGGTAATCGATTTATTTGATCCACAGCTAACGTTTCGCAGATCGCCTTCGTCAGAGCCTGTAAGGGACAATACGATCGGCAGCCGATTCGAGCCGGTACCTCTACAGCTGAACAGACGAAATGCTAGACTTCGTTTTCGATCACGTGTTCAGCTGCACGGTCAAGTACTTACCCACTTACGCCGATACTCCTCTTCAGAGGAAAGTTGGGTTCACGTTGTCTGCTGATAGAGAAAGTTTGAATTGTTAGACGTGTATGCTGACCGTTACTTATATGCTAACAGATCAGAATACGTGAACGACGACGTGATTCCAACATTCCTCTGAAGAGGAGTATCGGCGTAATCCAGAGAGTACGTGTTTGACCGTGCAGCTGAACTCGTAATCGAAAACGAAGCCTAGCATTTCGTCTGTTCAGCTGTAGAGGTGACGGTTCGAATCGGCTGCCGATCGTAATGTCCCTTACAAGCTCTGACGAAAGCGATCTGCCGAAACGTTAGCCGTGGATCAAATAAATAGATTACCAATCTCGTGTATGACTTAAGAAGAAAGAAAATATTATTATCATGCCGTGATTTATTGAAAGTCGCACTATTCAATTACTATGTGATGTACCAGCTAAATACAAGCTTCTCGTGAGGGAAGCATTGTCATTGACAAAAGATCGTGTCAACAAAGCAATGCATATACTTTCTCAACCGCTGTCTTCAACATCGTGTCATCCCAAACTTCATAGCACGCAAAAAGCTACCCGCATTCCTTCTGGTATCAAAACAGCTCTAGAGAGGAACTTCGACAACCTTTTGGGTAAATCACGGGCAGGGCCCGGCACGAGGTGGGCAAACGGGGTTTTCCAAAACGAATTCCCCTTTGATCCCAATAAATTTTACGAATACCCCCTTGAGCCCAAAAATGACGTTTTGTGCCTGTGCGACGAGATAAATGGCCACACTTCGCCTAAAAGCGCTCAAAAGCGCCCAAATTGCTCATATTCCTCAACTTACTCCTCAGCTGTATCAAGATAGAAAACAGGAAGAAAAATAAGCAAGAAAAATGATTAAGGAGTGAGAAAATATCAAAGAAACGCAGTCATAGGAATGAGAGACGCCGTTCCCGCGCGTATCGATTGACTGGGGCGCGCTTTCCATCTTAGAAAGCTAGGCTGGTGATGCGTTTTGGGCTCTAACAAGGACAAGAGGAGGAGTTTGGGACCAAAATCTCACCATGTAGTAAACTTTAGGTGTACAACAGATTTATGTAAAAATTTTGAAAAAATTATGTGAATTGAGAGTTTTGCCGACCTCAGGTGGGAATTAGGTCGGCAAATGCCGACCTAATTTGGAAATTAGTTAAGCACGCTCTTCATTCACATAAGTTTTTCATAATATTTCATGCTTTATTACTTAGTCCTATTGCGCATATACACACCGAATCCCGCGCGATTTCGTTACCTCTGCGTTGCAAACGAGCCATTTTCCATTTCTTTGGTAGCGCAAAATTTTCAGAAAAAAGTTTGCCACAACCTTCAGTGACATAATTTTTCAACGAAACTCCTCAGTTAAGCCTTGCAAGCCCGTGTGCATGTACTTACCAAGTTTCATACCATATCGTTCATCTGCGCGTTTAAACGAGCCCTTTGAATTCACATCTTCATTTACCAGTTTTGCGAAGTTCTCGGAATAAATGCTAATTACTCCTTCCGTTTACATAATTTTTTCATAATTTTTCATACTGTGTTTCCACTAGCCTCTTTCCGTTCGCATAAAATTTGGTGTCATATCGTTGCACATACATTGAGAACTAGTCATGTATGCTGTTACAAATAGCATCGCTTGGGCGACGTCGCGCGTGCGGCAATTAGCGACGGCGCAGTTTGACGCGCCTCCAGTGTTCGCCTGTTAAGGCACATAACATGTTAAGGTAAGTAGCGAGCATGAACTACCAATTTTTTTTCGGGGCTCCGCCCCGGACCCCGCAAAAACGATTTTTCCTTTGCTTTTTGGCCCCAAAACGATTTCCAGCTTGTCATTTGCCGACCTCGTGCCGGGCCCTGATCACGGGATAAAGCTGCCACTGAGACAAGCTGTACAACATCTCTAGGTAAGTGCGAAAGTGGGAATAAAATCTCAGACCATCAATCAACATCAAGAGTAACTGTGATTGGAGGTTTTCCCTTTCCTGCAAATGCACGTTCTGTTCTCGAATTAGGGCCAAGTTTCTCACCTCAATTTCCCAAGTAATCCTGCGTAGAATTACTTGCAACCTACATGAGCTTCATGATAAGCTTTGCAAGCACGTGAACCTAGAAAGCGGAAGCGAAATTCAAAAGTATCTACATACATGTCTATCATTACCTTTCCTCAGTACCTTCTTGAAACAGCAACGAGATAATCCAGTGTCGATGTCACATCTTTTTGCAGACGAGGTTTTCAAACTGATAACACGGGTGCGCCAACGTAAAATGAAGTCTAACCTCCCTCATTTACAAAAAACAAGGCATCAAACAAATGCAAGAATTGAGATCTATTAGCGATGAAGGTGGCGAATTTGTAATCATACCCCACCAATTAGACGTCGCAACAACAAAGTTACACCTTCAGGACGTTTCGCTCTATCGAACTGATTCTGTTGACGAATTCCAGATACAGTATCGCGAACTTAATTAGAATTGGATTGAAACAGGTAAAGCAGCGCATATGTCGCACGATGTCATGGCGCGTCTCAAGGTAGACCTTTCGATTTGCCCCGTTTTCTACTTATTGATAAAGACGCATGAGAATTCCGACAACGATTTGGCCTCTACAGATCCTTCTCACTTCAAGGTAAGACCAATCATAAGTTCCATAGGAGGACCAGCGGATAGAATTGGGTGGTTCATAACATCAATACTCACACAACCACTTAAGTTCGTCCCCTCTCACCTGGCCAATACAAGAATGTTTTTGGAACGTTTCCGCGGAACATGCATAAACAGCGAGTGTGTCATAAAGTCATTCGATGTCAATGCGCTTTACACGAACGTTCAAAACGAATCTGCGTTGCAAGCTGTGCATGAGCTTCTTGTGGAAACGAAAATTCTGTCAATCTTTACGGACTCTCAGTACAGCAAACTTGACTCTATTGCAAGCGTTTTGAATTGCAACGTTTTCACTTGGTCCGGTAACTATTAGGCGCAGAAAAGAGGATTAGCCATGGGGCAAAGACTAGCTCCCGCACTCGCGATAGCTTACATGGCGAAAATCGAAACACCGGTACTAGGCCGCCTTTTGTTATACTGCCGCTATATTGACGATTGCTTCGTAGTCTGTGCCTCTCAAGAATACATGGATAAGTGTTTCAAAATGTTGAACGAGCGATCTCAATACATACGATTGAAGAGAGAGAAGCCAAAAGATCAGTGACTGCCATTTTTGAACGTGCAGGTAAATATCACTTCTGGTGCGCACGCAACAAAGTAGTACCGTAAGCCTAGCAACAGAAATATTCTTGCCCATTTACTTTCGGCTCTTCTGCCATAGACAAAGAGAGCAGTTATCAGCAACATGTTTTGCTGTGCTCCTCCAATCTGCAATGGTTCGAAAGAAAAGGCAGAATTGATGGTGCTTGCCCGTAGTATAGCGGCTTCTAATAGATATACACTGTGTTCGTTCTTGTAATTCGATCTGACCACTTGCAGTTGCTCTTGACACCACGACTTCTTTACAGTTTATTGCGTCGAATAACACAGAACAAATAAATGAGTCGAAAATATGTGATGCTGAGGTTAATTGGTGGTAACGGGAAGACATACTTCGGACGAGGCGAATCGCGGACGCTGTCTGGATGGGAGTGAAGTTAACAAAGCCGGCCCTCCAACCGCACACGTGTTAACTTTGCAGCTGTGTCCTCGCGCAGCTGCGAGTTGCGCAGCTGCGCCTTCTTTTCATGTCTTCTGATGACTTGCGATCAGAATACAGATCGCGAATTCCGCGATACTCCCGCCCGGCAGATATATGAAGCGTAGCGCGGTTGATTGAGGTTATGATATGAGGAATATGCTTCTTGCGCGCTTAAGTCATCTTGCGCGCTTGATGAGTAGGCTCAGTGGCGTCGAGTACGGAGCTGTCTTTCGATGGCGGTCCTCCTTTCGCGATTCCTTTCTAGCTCCGATCGGGCTCTGCATAGCTGGTCCGCAATATCTTCGCTGCGCTCCGGCAGCTCGCAAATTGCCGAGTGATGTCCGAATGCTCGGCAGTGGTAGCATTTTACGGCGTACTTGGAGCAGTACTTGTCCTCCGTGCAGCTGGTGTGCAAGCACATCACGCATCGGTGTTCCACCCTTAGCAGGTCACGGCGCGTGGAGGCAGTCCAAACTATCTGGCAAGAATCTGAGTAGTGGTGTCCCACGAGTTTGCAAAAAACACATTGGATACTCTTCTCCTCTTGACGCGGGATAAATCCATGCGTGAATCCAGTGGCGGTCCGAGAAATTTTTTTCGGGGGGGGGGCGACAAAAATTTTTTCTAAAGAAGGTGCGTGGCGTCAGCCACGCCCCCGAAAAAAAATTTTTATAAGGCTACAATGAATTTTTAAAAAACATTAAAAATTATTTTAATTATTTTCAAGTGCAAACAAGTCGTTTGCACATTTTTACAACCCATATAGGCAAGTTTCAAAAATTTCGCGACCCATTCTCGGGGGGGGGGGCCCCCCCCCTGCCCCCCCCCCCTCGGTCCGCCACTGCGTGAATCGTCTCGGTGGGCACACCTTTTTGTTTACCAGGTCCTTGATCAGCTGCTTGAAATTGCGTTCTGCTTTCATCACTTGCTCCAATTCTTCAGTGAGTCGCTGGTGGCGCCGTTCGTCCTCTATGCGGTCACGACGTCGGGGCTCTCGGGCTTTCGGTTCATCATACTTCTTTGAGGTCTTAGAGTCTGCTAGTTCACCCTCTTCTTGATCCATTGCTTTGTCGTCGGTTGGGAGCTCCTCTTGCAGTTGGAGTTCCTATTCACGCAAATCGTTTTCGTCCTGCTCTTCTACGTTTGGCGCGTCGTCTTGCAATTGGAGGTCTTCTTCTACGAGGTCGTTAACATCTCCGCCAACCTCTTCTCCTTCCAATTCGCGTTCCGGTTGGATCTCTGCAGTCGGCCCTTCTTCCAAGCTGACCTCCTTCTCAGCGTCGGTCTCTTGTCTCGTCAAAGTTTCTTGCGGCTTCGACATCTGCATCAGTGACTGCCATTCATTCATCTTGGTGATCATCGTAGCTAATGCTACGTCCAGGATGCCTTTCAGCTGCACTGCTGTATCAGCTTTCGTGTCGGGTTGCATCAGGTTTTCCGCCATTTCCTTCAGCGTGGTGACCATAACCAGCAGGTGGCTTTCGATTACTTCTATCTTCTTCGCCGTTGAATCGTGAGTATCCGTCAAGGCGTTAATGGCGGTCAGAATCTGCTCCTCGCGAGTGGCGTGCTCAGATCGCTCCTCCTGCTGCATTCGCTTGCGTATGTCCAGGAGTCGTTGACTGATGACCTCTAGCGCGGCCAGGTGATCCTCGATAGCTACATTGATGTCGTCGAAATCTGTCATAAGTACTCTTCCTGCGAGATCCCGCCTCTGCCGCTGTTTTAGGCTCTCCCACGCGTCTTTGGACATGATATCTGTGGCGTCAAGGAACTGCGGTATGACTGAGAATGTGCGGAACTGATTCTTTAAAAACGAGAGTTCCAGTCTGTATCGTTCACATTCGTGCTCTCTCATTTGTAGTAGTGCCAAGCGTTTCGGCCATTTTTCCTTCAACGCCCACATCTTCGCTATGTCTTTCTCCAGTCGGCTGACGGTGAACATTATCTGATTCAGCTGTTCGGAGTGCTCGAGGAATTTCCGGTAGAATACATCTGGAGTGGGCAGAGGTGGAATGGCTTTGCAAAGGCGTTTGTTCTCTCGTCGGAGGCGTTCAATTTCATCTTCGCTGGCTGTCTGAAATTGGTTGATATCGAATATAATTCTAAGGCTTCTCGTGTCTTTAGACATCTTTGCAGTGCTGTATGTGCGAGTGTGACTTGTGCTTTGGTTTCCTCCGAAAAAACTGGGCCAGTGCCCACATCCACGTACAGGACAACAGACAATTGCACGAAACATCCTTATAAGAAGCCATGCCATGTGCGGTGCTAAGGACTGAACACTTATATAGGTGATAAGGAGCGCTACTGCGACCACTATAACAGCGAACATGATTGTTTTGTAGCGGCTGAACATCGTCTCGGCAATATGTCCTAAGTAGGGCCATTGAAACTCGCTGTACAGCGTACTGTTGCCTCGGATGGTTGACAAAAGTGGACCGCGAAGGGAATTCACGTATTTGAGCATTCCTGACAGGGTGAAATTCCTCGCGGTCGCTCCGCACCTGACTGAGCAGTTTAGCATTTGTCGTGCTGTGCTCAATTGAAATAGCAGTGTGGACCTGGGGTTTTGCGCTCCGCACGGAACCACAAAGGCTTCTTGACCGCAGTATATCTCTCCTAGCCGTTGTTTGTCAGAAAGACACCTTATGACTGCCTTTGCTCCCTGAGCGCAGTTGTAGCAACCTTCCAATACACCGTCTTCTACTGTGCAGATATCGTTGTAGACTTCAAGGACGACTTCTTCAAAAACTTTATTAAAATCCACAATGAACTCAGCCATTGCCATTTGTGGGATTTTTGCTACTAGCGATCCGTTGTGGTTTTCCAATTCCCATATCGCCGTCTTTATTGGCACGCTCATCTCCACTTCTTCAAACACGCGCGACAAGTTTGATGAGGAGCATTGACATTTGACTTTACTTTCAGCAGCTTTACATCGACAGTCGTCTTGGAGGGTGCAGTTCAGTGCTTGCGCTGCCTCCCAAAAGTCGCAGCGTAGGTGTAATTTTTCCTGCTCTTTCCAAATAGCGATATCCGTACCATCAGTGATGAACTGGTCATTCAACAGTGATATCGGAGGCAGTGCTAGATTTGTCATCACCACTCGAAGCGATGGTAGTTCGACGGGGACATTAGGAGCCAGTGAGAATGTGGAACGGCGACTTGCAAGTTCCTTGCTCTCGTTCTCTATCGTTATTTCTAGTTTCACTTCCTCACGCCATCTCATGCAGCGAAATAGCTCATAAACGCCGGTCATTTCCGGTATCGCGTAGACTCTGTAGAACAAGCATCCCGCACTGGGGTAAAAGCAGTCGCATCCAAGTCCTCCGCAAGATTCTATGCACCCAGTTCTGCCCGGAAACTTGTTGCCGACCTCTAATTCGGGTATAAGGCTGGAGCTGTTGATGTCAGCACATTTGTTTTTTGAACAGGATCCCATATGTGCACATCTTTTGCTATCGATCACGGTAAGTTCTGAGGCCCGCGTGAAGAGCAGTGTTTGTCGGTCACAATATAGACTGAGGCCTTTCCATCGTATTTGGATGCTTGTGACCAGTGACTCGTTGCTGACCAGATTCAAGCAAGCCTCACGCTTAAGAGGGTTGATTTTTAAATGTCGTGCAAACCGTCAACTTGTGATTGAAGATGTTCACACGTTGGCAAGTTGATGTTGCTTCAGCGAAGAGGAGAACATTAAAGGCAGTGTCCGGGCAAAATTCGATTTTGAGATTTTGTGCTTACCTGGGCCTATTCACTATGCTGAATCCGAAAATCCACATTGGAAAGCGCGAAAACGGCGAAAAAGGGCTTTAACGTGGGAGGGAAATTAGAAGTGGGCGGGGTCTTCCCCATTGTGAATTTCGCGGTCCCTGCTTCTGGAGCGATCTTCTCAATTCCGCTAGCACTCTAAGATCTCCACAGGCCAGATGCGAATGCATGACTTGAAATTGGAATCGAGAAGATCGCTCCGGAAGCTTGGAGCGTGAATCCACATTGGGGAAGACCCTGCCCACTTGCTGATTTCCGTCCAGCTTTAGGGCCCTTTTTCGCCGTTTTCGCGCTATCCGGTGAGGATTTTCGGATTCAGCATGGCGAATAGGCCCAGATAAGCACAAAATCTCAAAATCGAGTTTTTGCCCGGACACTGCCTTTAAAGACAACGGCTAATGCTATAGTCAATCGGGCGCTTCTTGTACGTCTTGACGTTCCAATCCTGCGAAAGCTCCATAAACATACTTTTCTTGCCACTTTGCTGCATGAAACTATGATCCATTTCACTCCTTGCAGAATAAGCCTGATTGGTTTCCCTATGGTAATGGGAACATACAGAAGAACATATGTCAATGCGACAATGCCATATAGGAGAATCGCCGAAATAATGATAGCTCCTTGTGGCCAGCATTCCGGATTCAATAGCACCGTACTGCAGAACTTGCACTCGATATTCTCACAGAAGTTCAGCCCTTGGCAGACCGTGCTGATCGTTGCGACATGTACTCCAGACTTCCACTTCAGCATGACGGTATGATCGTGCAGTGTCACCTCTGGGGGGAATCTTATCAGTTGCAGTTGAGCCCCCGATTTCTGTGTCTTGCAATAATTGTCGGCACAGATTTGGAAGGACTCATTGATGGCGGCGTGGAGAAGAACCCCCGAGGGAGTGCAATTGAACATTATCGAATGCGGTAGACTCTATGCTGGCGGTAAGAGCAGCGTCATAACCATAAGATGGAAAAGGAACCATTGTGTGCGCAAATTTTTTGCTCGATATGGTCTTTGTTCCGATACAGCAAGTTCTGCATATTGTCGAGGCTTTCGTGGGCGTAGGTCGTAGCGAAGACTAGTTTCCTTTTCACCAGGTTTGACTGTTTCCTCTTGTTCGGTGGAACTTGGTCTATCGTCATCTTCCTCAATTTCTAGCGGTATTAGAAGGTTTACCGGCCTGCGTATCCTCCTTTTGCTTGTAAGCAATTCCACTTCTCGCATTTCTCCATCCATTCCGCGATGGATTTCTTCGATTCGTGCTAGTTTCCACGAATTTCTAGGAAGCACCGGATCGCTTACTAGTACCACAGAACCGATTTTGGGGATTTCTACTCCTTGTCTTCTTCTCGAGATGTTTTTCAACTGTTTTTCGCGCAGGCTGGTGAGGTACTGTTGTTGCCACACCTTCCAAAAACGGTCCACGATTTTGTAGGAAGAAGTGAGTGCTTCCTCCACTTCCTTCCGTGTCTGTAACGCTCTCATATCAGCCGGCAGTACGTAATCTGGATCCCCCTCCAGTGGAGTTGTCTCATTCAAGGGGAGCGTAATGGTCCAGTCTTTCTGCAAGAAGTCAATCGGACGAATCATCTTCAACGTGTCGGGTTCGACCTCCTGATATGTTAGTGGTCGAGAGTTCAAGCACGCTTCTATTTCCGTCATTATTGTAGCCATCTGATCGAGAGAGCGTACTGATACTCCTCTTGAAGCCTTATATAAGGATTGTTTTATGGATTTTATGGGACGTTCGTAAAACGCTCCTTGCCAGGGAGCGTACGGAGTGATGTGGTGCCATGTGATTTCCAGATCACTAATTTCCCGCGCTATGGCACCCTTGAGGATCTGCTCGCTCAGGAGAAACGTTGACGCGTTGTCGCACGTCACTGATTCGGGTACACCCCTTCGTGCGATGAATCGTCTCATTGCGTTCAAAAAGTCCTCCGTGCTCATACTAGCTACCACTTCCAAATGGATCAAACGTGTAGCTGTGCAGGTGAAGATGCACCCATAGATTTTCCCTTCCTCACTATCCACAGACGGGAGATCGAAGAAGTCCAGCCCTATGTGTTGGAAGGGTCGTCCCTTTTGGACTCTGCGTTCCGGTAAACCCGTCGAATCGGGGTAATGGTAAGGTAGTCCATTGAATCCTCTACAGTTGACACAGTCGTGGATTAGATGCCTCACTTGTCGACGCAATTGCGGGAACCAGTATTGCGTTCTGACACTAGCTATCTGTGCTCCACTCCCTTGTGGAACATACCATGGGAGTCGCGTATGATGAGTTCCGCCAGTGCGGTT